CCTGCTCGGACTGCCAAGGCCATAAACTTTAATCTCTTGTTTGGGGAAACAGAAATTATACCTCCTCTATAGGAGTTAGATCCTGTCTCCTTTGGCCGGATGTTTGATGAGGGCAGCGGAAGGATGCTTGACCAGTGCTGCAGACCCGTGGGACTGGGAGTATGGGTGCTGCCCAAATACACCAGAACGGGGCTCGGGAGGCGTGGTGTTGAGATTTGACTGCCGTGTGACCTGGGACAACCATTTGCCCTTTCTGAATCTCAGCTCACTTCTCTGTAACATCAGACTAGTGATACTGCAGGAAAGAGATTTGTAAGCATAAAAAGCTTGGGCATGGGGGTGAAGGGAGGATTCATGTTCTTCACGCAGACAAAGCTGGTGTTGAAAGTGGAGGCCATCTGACCCGTAGGGCTTGGGCTTTGTCCTGCCCACCTTTCCCTGTGGATTTACACGTCTGTTACCTGCCGGAGTTCTTTCAGGAGGATTCTCATAAATAACCCCGCCCAGCAGGCTGTGCGCCAGGCATCTAAATAAGCACTTTAAAAATTTAAGTCCTAATTTTTTCATTCTTCTTGGAGAAATTTTAACAGGAACAGCAGCACTGAAGGGACCTGGGAGGTCATCCAGCCCGGCCTTTTCATTGTGTAAACTGGAGACTGAGCCCAGAAGTCAAGGCTGTCATCTGAGATGGCATCGCCAGCTATGGCCGAACGGTGGTGTCTATGACTTAGATTTTCTGAGCCCAGAGGTCAGAGATCTCCACCAAACCCCACCTTGCCTTGAAATTCGTTCATTAGCTGTGCACACAGTGACCACATGATGTGGAAAGACCCAGGCTAGAGCCTTGCCAGGACAGGGTGGGCAGGCTGGGTGATGGGGTGAGCGTGGGGTGGCGGGGGCACGTACATTTAGGGCACAGAGGAATTTCTTTAGGGGGTAATTTAACAACTGACCTTATGTCTCTTCTATCTGGCAATCCTTAAAGCTATTTTAGAGCTGTATTGTGCTTTGTGTTAGAGCTGGGCCACTAGCCACATGTGGCTATTGAAATGTAAACTAATTAAAATAAATAAAAATTTAAAATTCGCTTTAAGTGGCACTAGCCACATTTGGAGTGCTCAGTCGCCCCCAGGATTCGTGGTTGTGGATCGGGCAGGACAGATGTAGAATCTTTCCGTCATAGCAGAAAGCTCTGCCGGGCGGCTGTGTTCTCCAGGGTGGAACAAGGTTGGGGCGAGCAGGGATTAGGGAGCCAGGCTGCAGTTTAAGGGCAGGCAGGACCGGCCACACAGAGGGTGGTGGCGGCCCGCTGGGGTCTACAGGAAAGAGGATTATCTCCTTGAAAGTGAAATCTGGCAAAGGCCTTTTCTGCAGTTGGTGTAGAAATATTCCTGAATCATTCCTGTTTGGTGAAACCTTTTCTGGTCATCACTTTTCTCCTCTTCGTACAAATCGGATAAATTCTGTAAGGGAAAGGCACCTAACTTCTTCCCTTAAGCCTCAATGACTGTATAACAACCCAACTGACTCCTAAAACCATAGTTTTCTCTTAAGGACAGTGAATAAAGTACAATTTTCATTGTAATTTACAATTCAGGGACTCTGATTATACGAAGAACAGCAAGAAAAGGTGATGTGGTTATGATGGGGATGGAAAGAGCTAAGGGAATAACGGGACCCCCACATGAGCACCTTTAAGATGACATGACTCACAGATGCCGTTGTCATGGACACCTGTGGCCAACCCTTGACTGTCAACTTCAGTGACGAATGCTTTTCCATTTTCATCTTTTAACCATAATTCATATGACAGCGCCTGGCACAGAGTATGTGCTCTATACATGTCAGCAGAGTCCCATCCAACAGGCCAATGTTGCCCTGAACCTCAAGATTCTTTTAGGGAAAGGATGATACTTTTGGTTTTTAATCTTCTCTTTCTCCTCGCCAGGGTTGATAGTCATAGTCCGCCCCTCAAAAGATGTCTGCTGAGTAAAGAAATGCCTGTTGTAGGTCCCTGCTTTCAACCAAACTTTCTTTGATGAAAACAGGATTCTGTGTCTCTCTAAAATGTAACGCTCCAAGCAAAAAGGCCCAGCCTTTAAGAGGATTAGAAGAAGGCTGGCGACTTCAGAAACACAGCACACATGAAGGGGGCCTGCGAAGCCATACCCGTCCTTTAGCTGCTTGGCAAATCTGTTTTTGATTATCAGATCAGGACATGGTAATTTACGGCGCCCAGGCAGCTACTTTCCTGGTGAGATACGTGCTGTGCTGGATCCCAGTGTCCCTGTTTGCCCGTTGCTAGGGTGACTGCTGGCCTTGGGAGGAGGGGGAGGGTGCAATGGGGCCCTTCTTGCTGCTCACATGATGGGGAGGGGAGCGATGTGTGAGCTAACCAGCTGCACTGCGGGAGCTCCGGCTGCTCTCAGGGACAGCTGAGATGCTTCTTTGAGGTCTCCCCCATCGACAGCACCAGGGGCCACGTTTCCATGGTGACGTGCAGAGCTCATGGACTGTACCTGTGAGCAGTGGCCGTGCATTCTAAGGCTGGGGGCAAAGGACTGATTTCCAACAATAGGAAATTCACATTTAACTGAGCAAAAGTAACGCTAGAGAAAACAAGGACGCTGAGGGAGAGTATAAAGACTCTTTGTAAGGGGTCCCTCAAGTCACATTATTTAAATTCAACTAAAAAAAAAAAGTCTCTTTCCGTTTAGTCATAGGAGACTTCCAGGAGGGCTTTCAGATTTCCTTTCCTAGTTTTTGTTCCCTATACAATCAACTGCCACGACTATTTTTATCGCGCCCTCAAAGGCACAGGGAGCAACACAGCTCTTCGACTTTAATAGAGAATTTTTATTAACTGGTACCAGCGTCAGACGGCATTATTTAATTTCCTCGGATAATTAAAGATACTGCCTGGGCCCCCTACCGCAGTGGAATTAGGTATTTGCTGTTTTCCAAAAGCCAATGAGAAGGATTCGATCATTTTATCCAGGTCTTCTCCCAACCCCGGGGGCATTTTTCTGGCCTGTTAGATGATTCAGTGATACAATAAAGGGGACCCTCGCTTGGAAATAAGATTCTTTTATCTTAAAGGACTCTCAAGAGACATTTCCAGAAGGTTTAATGTTCCCGAGCATATGCTCAGAGCAAAAACGCATCTTGAAAGTGTCTTAAACAGGAAATTGAGACTTGTATTTGTGGAGTATCCTTGTCTAAGTTCATTTCTTCTGTTGCTAGAATGACTATTTTCCTTCATTTCACTTGAAGTGGCTTTATTTCTGGAGCCTGGTCACAGCTCAACCAGGAATATATGTTGTTTAATAGCTGCTGAAACAATCGGCCTTGGTTGAGGGTTGGAGGGAGGGGAACCTTTGATGAAAACAGCCCCCATGTCAGTTCTAGGGACTTGTCTGTCTTTATTCAGACTTTCCTACAGGAAGTTCATTATTTCATAGACCACATTGCCAGGGAGCTCTCTGAGGCCAAGATCTGAATCCTTTCAACTGCTGTGTCCACAAAATAGAAAACAGTGTCTTTACAAAATTAACACACATACTCAATGCCTGTTTTAAGTAAGGGTTCTAGAAAGCTCCATGGGCCTCAGATAGAGATGACCAATTCCTGAATCGTTATATGGTGTTTTTGTGCATTGTGAATGCACTTAATAAATATTTGATTTAATAAATCAATAAATCAATACATAGTTTTATGCCTTTTGGTGAGGTATTTCATAATTTTCATCATATACAGTCTCCATGGGACTTAATCTCAAAATAATTAAGATCGCCGGGCCAGCTGGCTCAGTGGTTGAGCATCGACCTATGAGCCAGGAGGTCACGGTTCAATTCCCGGTCAGGGCACATGCCTGGGTTTCCGGCTCAATCCCCAGTGTGGGACATGCAGGAGACAGCTGATCAATGATTCTCATCATGATGTTTCTATCTCTCTCTCCCTTTCCCTTCCTCTGTGAAATCAATTAAAAATATTTAAAAAATAGCAATGAATCCCCAAGAGATTCAACCACTATTTAGAAGGGGAGGTCCAGGTAATTACGTGCCAGAGAGGGCTTCTTCTCCTGTACTGTGCACATGAATGTCTGAGGCCTTGTCCAAACAGACTCTGACACAGGAGGTGGGGGGCGACTAACAAGCCCCCAGGGTGCTGAGCTGCTGGTTCCAAGGGCTACGCTCTGAGCAGAAAGGACATAGAGCACAAGTTTCAAGGATGCCCTTCCAAGTCGAAGGTTCCGTGAAGCATCCCCTTACCTTCTTCGGCTGTTGACCGCGATGCAAACTGCGAGAATCAAAGCCAGGGCCAGGAGGGACGCCAAGATGATCAGCCACTCTGGTGGGAGTGAAGGAAAAGACACCCGTGACCTTGGGAAATACATTTTGTGAAGATAAACATGCACTTTATAAAACGGACCTGGCCCAAACAAGAACCACCGTCAGCACTACAGATAAATTCGACCAAATGGCCCAGCCAGTAGGCAGATAATAGGAGAAGAGAGATTTTGCTACAGCTGTTTGTCCATCCGGCCTCTTGTGTTAATCTCTCGCCATCAGTCAGGATTCCCAAGTCCCTCCAGGAGAAATATGTTTCCAAAAAAATGTAGAAGGACCTGTTGAAACTTGTAGATGCCCTGGGTGTAGTTATTAACCAGACGAAGTAAATGTATTCTTCCCTTAAAAGGAACTTTCCTTTCCTGGGTAAGAGCACCCACCTTACATTGATTAGAAGCAAAAATAGAGGCCATATACTAGTGAGTGGGAGAAAGGACAGTCCTATGGACGGTTGAACTTGTGCACATTCACGGGCGGGGTAGGGGGGTCATTTGGCAAAACTGGTCAAAAGCCTTCAAACTGCACATGCTTTCGATCCAGCAGTTACACTTTCAGGAAATTAGTTAGCTAGGAATGTGTTCATTATTGTGCTATTTATAATGGCAAAAGTTGAAAACAACCCAATATCCAACAATAGGAGTTGGTTGAATAAATTAGGGTTCATTCATTATATAATGTATTACAATGTGGGGAAACATATGTAATGACATTGGAAAGCTGTGCCCCCCCCCAGTTGAGAATGGTAGTTTGTTAAACAAAGCATGTATGGAATAATTACATGTTTATATATAAATTACACTGAAAATGACAGGAAGGTCATCTATGAAAATGATAACCATGGTACTTCTGGATGGTGGGGTCGATAACTGATTGGTATTTTTGTCCTTTTGTTTAGTTACATTTTCTAAAATGTCGGCAATAATTAATGCATCACTCATGGACTCAGAACATGTTATACACATGTTTTTAAATCAAGCTTTAAAGTATTAAAATATGACTGGACAACTTGAATAAAGTCAGCTGCCAAATGGGCCGTGTATCTGCGCGATGAACTACAGCTTGGGAAACAAGAAAGATGGACAGTCAGTCACTGCCCCTTCGCCTTTGGGAGTCTTGGTTCTCCTCTGATTTCCTGCTCAGGGAGCGCTGCCTTTGCCTGACGTCTCCCTGGTTAGGTGAGCTTGGGTAGCAGGGTCGAATCAGGATGTGGGGAGACCCTCGGGAGAGAAGCACTTCTCTTCTTTCCTGGGTCTCTAGCCCTGAGATGCCCCCCATTCCCTCTCACTGGGGCTGGGGAAAACCCTGCTGCCTGATTATTGCAAATTTCATCCCAACCACCGCGTCTTCCCTGGCCGCCCATGCCTTCTCCACGTGCTCTGCCTCTAGCTGTGCCCAGGCAAGGTGAGGCAAGTGGGCCGGGCCCACAGCACATTTTTCCAATTCCCACGAGAGGCTCAGTTTGGAGACCTCTGAAGAGAGGGGATAGTATGCAACCCTGGGAAAACCCTTCCTTTTTAGTCATCCTAACCCCCCTTAACAAATGCTTGACTTTGAGCCCAAGTCAAGTAAAGCATTTGCTTAGAGTGACTTAAGTCTTGACACTCAGGAGAGCCAGCTGTCTCGGTCCCCTCACTGCACACGTTAGCACATTCTGAAACTTTGTCTGGATCAGTGAAGACTGTCCCTCAAGAAAAAGCACTTTGGGGACCACAGGAATGTTTTCACTCCACCCAATATCCTGTCTGCAATGTGAGAGGAATGTTACACATGTCATCCCCAACCCCAGAAAGAAAGGGAAACTGAACCACGATAGGACCTGGGTGTGACATGGAGTCCCCTGGGCGGTCATGCATGTGAGGAGGAAGCTTTCGGACCTAACGTGCCCCTGCTTTGGGACCTGGGATAAGAGAACCCCATCTTTTCCGATCTGTTATGTCATCCATCTTTAGCTTGCAAAGAGGAACTATCAGTTTCAAGGGCTGGACATTTAGGAAAATGTGCTTTCAAACCGGTTGCTTCTTTCTTTCTGGGACATTCAGCGAGACCTGCTTTTAGCATCATTTTTCTTTTCCCCTCGCAGCTCAAAACTCACCTGGAATTTGAGGTTTCCTTATAGGACCCGAGGTCGTGTTGGCATCACCTTCTCGACTCCCACTGGAGTGTCCTAAGGGGAAAAACAACATCTGTCAATCAAAGTTTGGAGGGCAGAAGGAGGCTTACAGAGCAGCACACGGGGCCAGCTTCTGCGTCCTGCAAAGCTCTCTACACACTGAAGCCGCAGGCGTTTATAAAGGGCTACAAGACTCTCCCCAGAAACGTTCCGTCTGATGGAGGCCAATATATTATTGAAACATGCTTTGTATTTGAAGAATGAACAGTTTCTTCTGCTCGAACACAAAAGAAGAAAACAAATAAAAATCTCAGACTGAAGGGAAGCATCACAAGACAAAGAATCCACAAGTTGGAGCAGGAGGCTTACAAGAATGAGAGAGGCGTCATGTTGTAAAAGAAACTCTAAGACATTTTGTGAGGAGACTCGCCCAAATGAATACGCTCTGCTTTTTGTGTGTGGGCTTTTTGTTTTGTTGTTTTCCTTTTTAAAAAATATATTTTTTAATTGATTTCAGAGAGGGAGGAAGGAAGAGGGAAAGAGAGAAACATCAACGATAAGAGAGAATCATTGATCAGCTGCCTCCTGCATGCCCCCTCCTGGGGATGGAGCCTGCAACCCAGGCATGTGCCCTGACCAGGAATCAAACCATGACCTCCAGGTCAACTCTCAACCACTGAGCCACGCTTGCCAGCTCTTTGTATTTTATATGCTTCCTTTACCGCTCCCACTGAAATGAAAATATCCCACTAACAAGAACTCCTACCGAGTGGGATTCCACTGCTGAATCCTGAAGGCCTCCAAGGGATAAAAAACAAAGCAGGGAAGTCTGTGTGGGCAGCCAATGAATGAAGATGGCTGGGCTTATCGTGACAAGCTCTCCAAGCTGGCCAGCTCTTTGTATTTTATATGCTTCCTTTACCGCTCCCACTGAAATGAAAATATCCCACTAACATGAACTCCTACCGAGTGGGATTCCACTGCTGAATCCTGAAGGCCTCCAAGGGATAAAAAACAAAGCAGGGAAGTCTGTGTGGGCAGCCAATGAATGAAGATGGCTGGGCTTATCGTGACAAGCTCTCCTAAAAGAGTCAAACTTCAGACTGTGCACAGTCTGATTATGGTGGTTATTTTAAATAGGTCGGCTATTGCTTACGCAATCTCACGTTTTTGTTAAACTCGAGTTTTACCATATGTCTGGCCGTTTCAACATACCGCATGCCGTGGTGACAGTGGCCTCTCCCTGGACAAACCTCAGAAAGAGCCAAGACACTTTCTCTAGTTGCCTCCCAGAGTCTGTGGTCACTGGCCAGTGTCCACCTGCACAGGTTAGGGGTACTGGCCATCTAAACTGGAGGTCATTGGCCTTGAAAACCACCGCAGAGGCACAGTCACCCTCACTGGTCTTTCCCTGACTCACAGCAGCCTCTGCTATTTGAAAGGGAGGCCATGAGGGGATCATAATCCCTTTATGTCTATTTTCCAAAAAAGTGCTCCCAGCAAGGAAAGATCTGGGTGTGTGGATACAGCCAGATGGCACCGCCTGTTTGAACAATAGACACCTGCACAGAAGTCAAACAAAAGAGGCCGCTCCCGCCCACTTCAAGCAAAAGCCAAGAAAGATGGACTAGATAGAGCAGGTCTCGCCTTGCACCCCAGAGGTCTGCGAATGCAGCTAGGGAAGGGCTGGCGAGAAAGGCAAGCTCTGATACTGCAGTTGGAGATGAGATCCAATCTGAGATGTGTGCACAGAGATAACTCGACCGGCCTTAACTGTGAGAAAAACAGTCTCCGGCAGTGCTTCTCAAGCCTAATATAGGTGGAGCGGGAGGATCTTGAGTCAGTAGGTCCGGGATGGCTGGGGATTCTGCGTTTCCGACCAGCTCCTAGGTGGTGTCTCAGCTGCTGGTGTATGGACCACACTTGGAGTTGTTGGAGTCTCTTGATTTTAGAAACCCTGCCTTTTAGTATCAGCTCCCTGTCGTTTCTAAGTTACTTTCAAATTCCTGATGCCTCCTGTTCTTCACAAGAACTCCAGGAGGTAACTGAGGCCAGTGTTCTGATCCCTTTTTTTCAAATAAGGAAACTGAGGTTGGGGAAGGTTGACTGCCCCACCCCAGCGCTCCAGAGAGCATTCGACTTCGGTCCTTACTTTAGAAGCATTTCTGATGAGCCCACTACATCCCTGTCCCCGTAGGTAGAAGGTTATTACTAAAACCACCATGGAAATGTCCATCTTCATTGCGCTTTAAGTGTGCGAGCCTGTAAGCCCGGAGGCAACTCTACTTCCAATATAAGTATGAAGGCAGGACAGTAGCTTATAGGATGACCTCACTTGCATGGGGTGCCTGGACCGACGATGCTCGGGGTCACCTCGGTAAGACAGCACCAGCACAGCCTTTCGGCGGCCCCAGCGCTACTGGTCACCAGGAGACCTGCTTCGTGGCAGACTTTTGCTGCCTGGAGTAACGTTTCCAGGCGTGTGCTCCGAGCCACAGTGAACAGGAACCCATTGACTGATGCGTGCCGGGTGGCAATTATGGTCACCACAGGTTGCTTTCTCTAGACCAGTGATAGCGAACCTTTTGAGCTCGGCGTGTCAGCATTTTGAAAAACCCCAACTTAACTCTGGTGCCATGTCACATATAGAAATTTTTTGGTATTTGCAACCATAGTAAAACAAAGATGTATTTTTTTGATATTTATTGTATATATTTAAATGCCATTTAACAAAGAAAAATCAACCAAAAAAATGAGTTCGCATGCCATCTCTGGCATGCATGTCATAGGTTCGCCATTACTGCCCTAGACTGTGCTTGTGAGATGCAATAGGAGACCCCTGGCTTTGAAACGGGACTCCACCACTCAACTCACTAGTCATGGCAACTCAGCTAAGTTACTTAGCGGCTCTGAGCCTCGGTGTTCTCTGTAATAGTGGGATACTAGTACTTCTTATGTGGGCCACAGGGTATGTAGGATGAGCAAGTGAGTTAATAATAGACGAAACATATAAAATATGTTTAATTTCATATATGACGACTGACCTACAGAAATGGCAGTTTGATAGGGTCCATCCTACTACACAATAAATTCTGATGAAATGCTAGCTGTTATGCCATGTGCTGGGGGCCAGGCCAAATGCTTCGGTGTATGCTATCATTTAGTCCAGTGGTTCTCAACCTGTGGGTCGCGACCCCTTTGTCAGTCGAATGACCCTTTCACAGGGGTCGCCTAAGACCATCCTGCATAGCAGATATTTACATTATGATTCATAACAGTAGCAACGTTACAGTTATGAAGTAGCAACGAAAATAATTTT